ATATAACACAATCTCTTCTTATTTATTTCTTATTGCAAATCTGAAATTAGCTATTCCTCCTCCAAAAGTCCCAATACTTTTTATGTAAGGTAGTATTTAGAGCCCTTCTGTGCATAATTTTGTATTGTTTATTAAAGACTAATTTAAAGAAAGCTAAATTACAGTTCACAACATGAATGTGACTCCACAATGGCATATTGAGTGCAGCTTGTCTTATACACTATGGGATGACTCATTTCTCTGGCCCTTTTATTCTAACTACCAAGTAATTGTATTATGTACAGTACACCTGGTAGAGCATAATATCATTTACAAACAAAGTCTGACTTCATCATTTCAAATCAACCCAAAACAATTAAAGTGGTACTATCTGGTGTCAGTGTGCTTGTAAATACAAATACAAAAGTGAGTGTTGATAATGTATGGCAGTGTTCAGTCACAGGGTAGTCTTCTAGATGACCCAGAATGTGCTTATGTCAATTTATTTTAAATTATTTCCTTTGGGAGATGGTCAGGTTACTATTACAATAAGAAGGCTAAGAATTTTCATAGAAGAGGTTGACATTAAAGGGAATATAGCTCATGGCAAACTGTGACTCCAGAAGCATATGAGAAGAAACAACAATATGTGGTTTTTAGATGTACATAGCAAAATACTGTTAGCCAAGATTACTGGGGTGAGCAGAGGGAATTAATGAACAAGCTACAAAACGAAGCAAGATATAAATTACAAAGAGTTTATGGCACCTAATTAATATTATTGGTCTTGGGGCTAATAAGAAATTACAAAAATACTGAAGCATGGATGTAAAAACAACAACACACACACACAGACAAAACCACTATTTAAAATAATAGCACAAACAACCATCCTTAACGTAGCATTCAATGCACTCCTTTAAATCAATATTGACCATATATCTAAAAGACATATATTGGATCCTCTCCCACATTGTTGCCGAGCTGGAATTCCCATAAGCCGCCTTCTGTCCTTGCTTGGGTGTCAACCTGGACTTCTAATGGGAGTTGACAGCAATGTTTAAGCAAGGGAGTGAGATAATCAACTTTATTTGTGTGGGGTTTTTTTTTTTTTTTTTTTTTTTAT